CTGCTCATATGTAAGTGCGCTGTGTTGTGCAATGCATGCACAACAGGTGGTCAGAAGAGAGCTTCAGATCCCCACTGGAGTTGGGGATGGTTGTTAATCACCATGTGGGTGCTGGGAACCAAACTCAGGTCCTCTGCAAGAGCAGCCAGTGCTCCTAACTGCTGAGCCATCTCTCCAGACTCAAGACCACTACTTTCGCATGGCTGAAGAATGTGGTAATTTTGTAGCATCCTGGGCATTTCACAGTCAGGAAGTAGGAATTGGGGCTCTGCACCAGGTGCTTCTTGTGTTTCTTCTTCTCTTCTGGAGATGGATGAAGGGGAATCCTCTTTGAGGGGCATGGTCTCATAGGGATGTTGTCACTGCCAGAAGAAAGCTTGCAGTTTCTTAAGCTGGTGTTTTATAAACTGACGTACTAGTCCCTTCATGTATATGTTGTAGATTCTAGGAGAAACACAAAGTTTTGGGATAAAGATGATTTAATACCTAGCTTGGAAAATCTCTTTTACTGATAAAAACTTCATTATTCCAAGAATAGGATATAGAATTTGCAGAAATCATTAAGAATAAATAAACGTGAATCTTCAAAGAAATTTTGGCTAGGTTGCAGCTATCTCTGCATCAACCCCTTCACCTCTCAACTCCATCCCACCCCCAGACCTACTGGGTGTAGTTATTCACTGTGTTCTGTTTAAAGATTTCTGTGATGGCAGCTTTGAGAAATTCTGGCTTAGGTCAGATGAGCTGGCTGTCTGGGGCCAAAAGGAGTAAAGACTTTTTTTCCCAGAGGAGGCAGCAATTTTTCAGCAAAATTCTAAGGACTCTAGTCCCTGAATCCACAGAGGTTTGTTCCTGGAACAAGGATCTAGATATTTTTCTCTGACTTGAAAAGCACCCCACCCCCAAAGTGGAAGCCTCAACTACAATCAAAATTGGAAGTGAGTAATACTTGGCCAAGTTTCCTTGTCCTGGGAATTGGAAATGGAGCCAAGAGTTGCCTGATCAAATGGTTCCTATCACCCCATGGACCATAAATGGACAGTTCCTTATAGCCTGCGGTCAGAGGTCATCTCTTTTGTCCTTTGTTCTTTTTCAATCTCAATTCTGACTTCAGACTGTATTTCCTTCCTCCCATATCCTCACTTCCTCCACACTTTGGAACTTCGGCACAGGCTGAGAGACACTTCTCATCTCTCCAAGGTCAGAACTTAAGGAAGTAGAAAATTTATATGGTTCTGATTTCCCTGTGTTCACAAGAGAAGAAGCAGTACTCATATCGAAATTCCCTTCAGATCTGTTATTTCTGAGCCTCCACAACTTGCCTCTTGATACAGGTAAAGGCCAGTTCTTGCTCTACCAGCTCTAGTCCCTTTTTGCCCTACTCCCGCAGGACCCAAGTATCCAAGCTCTAAAGGTCTATCTGTCTTTCTCTCTATCTACGATATGAATATTTCTTGGAACTTGCTTGTTCCCACCAATTGAATTTCAATACACTATCTTCTGAAACCTTGTGGAAAAATCACTATTCATTGGGCGTTATGTTGAATCCAGGACAAGAGGTTTAAAAATGTACCCATATTCATCCTTACAAGTGAGAAGAAATCATTTAACAGCTACCCCCAATTAGACAGAGAAACACTTTACCTTAAGATTACGCAGCAAATTACAGATAGAAGACTTCTGCTCAGGCTTACTGATGTGTGCCATCAAACTATAAAGATTAAGTGTGGTACTTTTGGGACATGCTTCTCCTCAAAGAGGTTATTTCTGGGGCCTAAAGGAAAATAAAATTGTATCTTAATACAGAGGTGGTCAAAGTTCACTAAATGGCTAGGACTGGAGAGATAGATGGCTTAGCAGTTAGGTGCTCTTGCTGCTTTTGCAGAGGACTCTGGTTCAGTTACCAGAACCCACATGGCAGCTCACAACCCAGTGTAACTCCAGTTCCACGGGGATCCGATGCTCTCTTCTGGCCTCTGAGACCACCAGGCACATACGTGGTGTACAGACATATACTCAAACACACACAAACACATAAAATGAAATAAATAAGCAAATGTTTTTTTAAAAAAATTAATTAAATGGATAGGGTATCTGGGACAAAATAGAGACAAGTCACTACTACCTCAGGAGTCCTAATCTTCTGAGTCCTTAGTGTTAATGGGCAGGATGCTAGGAAAGACATGATATAGGCTTTGATGTCAAACACATCTGTGTTCTTTGTCTCTGTGATATTAGACCAGCTGCCCTATAAATCTTTGTTTCTCATCTATAAAACAGGGTAATAGCTATTTTTGAGGCCCATTTTGTGACTGGGATCTCTAAAGGTCTAGTCTGCAAGCTCTGTGTGGGACTGTTGGGTCTAGCTTTACGTGCTTAGTAGAAATTTTGTAACTACCATGAAAGGGCAATTGTGGTTGTAATTGGGGAGATTGGCTTGTTTGCTAGGAAGGACACTGGCAACTGTGGTGTCTTTGTTTCTATCTCTAGGTAAGTCTCTTAGATTTCCTACCGACTCCATCTTAAACTCTCGTTCTCAACCTGTTATACCCACCAAAGAAAAAACGAAGGCTGCTCTATGTCAGCCTGAACTCATTAAGATGTAGCTCAGCCTCAGTGTGGCCATCCCTAGTCTTGGGCATGCTGGGGTGGAGCCTACAATTGAACCATTAATATGCTAGTGTCAGAGACTGAGAACAGACTTCATGTGCCTTTTCCTTACAAGCCTCCCTTTCCTGCCCAGACAATAGGGAACCTCTCAGCTTCTTCACAGGACAAGGGTTGGCCCCAAACAGTTCAGTACTCAGGAACAGCATAGCTTTGGGATATATGCATGCCATGGTCCCTGCTTTGTCTTTTCAAGTATTCTTCTTGGGGTATTGCAAATAATTCTTGTTCTTAAAGTTATCAACATTAGCCTCGGTTTCTAAAGATAAAGGTTGGGGATCTTCTAGTTAGCAGGGCATGTGGAAGTTCCTGAAAAGAAATGTGTTTCAGAGCACAGGAACTCTACACTCCTCCAGTTACATCCTTTGCTTCTCTTCTGATGATTCATCTGTCTTTAAAAAAATTAAAATTAATTAAAAATTTTTTTATTTTGCGTGTATGAGTGTTTTGACTGCATGTATGTAAGTACACCCATGTGCAATGCTGAAGAGGCCAGAAGAGAGTGCTGGATCCCCTGGAACTGGAATTAGGGATGGTTACTAACCATCATGTGGGTGCTGGGAACTGATTTTGGGTTCTCAGCAAAAGCAACCAGTGCTCTTAATTACTGAGCCATCTCTCCAGCCCCATTAGTGTCCTTCTTAATAATACTTTTTTTATTGAGACAGGCTCCTGTGTATCTCAGACTGAAGGATATGATGAAGGTGTTAGCCCAAGGATGTCTTTCTATAGTCACTAATCCATTCTTGGAGCAGACAGCTATATAGGATTGTAGGAGAAGGAAGGAGGTGATAGAAAACTTAAGAATTGACTAGATTTGTAAATTTGATGTGGTTTGAAGCTTGACTCTTCCATTTGCTACCTGACCCTTGGGCAAATAATTCCATTTCTGAACTTTATTTTTACTATCTATAAAATGAACCTCGGACTTCTGTCATATATGGCTCTTGTGAGAATTAAAGATGATAATGGATGCAAGGTTCTTGGTATGTGCCAGTGCTCACAGTAAACGGGTATCAGTTCTTTTTTTTTCTTTTTAAATTCTTTTTTTTAATTAAATATTTTATGTGTATGAGTGTTTTGCTGGTATGTATGAAAATGTATCTGTGAATGCAATGCCTGTGAAGACCAGAAGAGGACATTGGATCCTTTGGAGCTGGAGTTATGGACAGTTGTTATCTGCCATCTGGGTGCTAGGAAGCAAATCCAGGTCCTCTGCAAGGGCAACCAGTGCTCTTAACAACTGAGCTGTCTCTTTAGCACTTCTTTTTAAATTCTTTATTAGGCGTATGCTAATTGTAGAAAATAGTGGATTTGATAGTGATTTTTTTTATACATGTGTATTATATTTTGATTGTAGTCAACCTTTGGTTGGAGTTTGCTTTTTCTGTTGCTGTGATAAACATGTCCAAAAGCAACTTGGTTATTTTAGCTTACAGATTACAGTCTATCATTGAAGGAAGCCAGGACAGGAGCTCAAGGCAGGGAGCTGGAAGCAGAAACTTAAGCAGAGACCACAGAAGAATGCTGCTTACTGGCTTCTTCAGGTTCATCTTCAGCCAGCTTTCTTATGCAACCCAGGCCTACCTGCCTAGGGATGGCATTGCCCATAGTTGGCTGAACGCTCCTACATCAATAAGTAGTTAGAAAAAGTGTTGCACAGACATGTGCACAAGCCAATCTGATAGAGGCAGTTCTTTAATTGAGGGTTCCCTGTTCCCTCATGTATGTCATGTGTCAGGTTGACAACTGAAGTTCACATTGACACCCTACTGTCCCATTGGTCCCCTTCCTTTTCTTAAATAGTCTTCCTTCTCTTTTCATGTTCTTTTATAAAACTCTAGACTCCTTATGACATTAGTTCTTTTTAAAATATAATTTTTTCTTTGAGACTTTCATACATGTATACAACATGTATACAATGCATGTTGATCATATTTCACCTCCATTCCTTCTCTTCCAAATTCTCTTAAGATCTCCCCCCTTCATGTCACCCTTCCAATTTCATGTACTTGTTTTTGTCACCTATGAAGTCTAATTAGTGTGCCAGTATGTGCATACAGTATGTGTGTAGGTGCAGGGCCATCCACTGGAGCATGAACAATCTACCGGGGGCCACATTTCTGAAGAAAGCTGACTCTCTGTCCCATATCAGCTATCAGCTACCAATAATCATCAATTTTTGACTGATGCTTTAAGTGTATTTTCTTTCCAGACTAGGAGTACCTTAAACCCCTTAAGGGTAAAGAGCAGGGTGGTTCCACCTTTGTGTTCTTTATACCTGGCACAAGGTAGGTATTCAAACAGTGATTCTTTTATATTTTCTCTTCCAGGTGGTGAAAACTATTGGCCTGAGGGAAGTTTGGTTCTTTGGTCTGCAGTACCAGGACACTAAGGGTTTCTCTACTTGGCTGAAACTCAATAAGAAGGTAATCACTTATTCTTCTGTCAGAAGCTGCTCAGGGTAATAACATGTGCTAGCTAGCAGACCTGGGATGCTTAGGTCTGTGGGTGGTCTATTGATTACTGTTTTAAAAACTTGAGCCTCCTTTTAGTTTGTTTTTAAATCCAGTATACTTAGCAAATATATTGAGCAAAATGACAAGGAAAATAATATTTAGAGTGATAGTTTAAAAAGTTGTATGGAAGCTGTTCTAAGTTAGACAGAGATCTCCATATTTATGTAGGATTGCTGCCTTACATAGACAAAAGGTGTTTTCTCATATGTCTACACACCTTACAGCTCCTCTTCTATCACTAAAATCTGTTTTTGAGAGCCTGTAACACCTTATTCCTCTCAGGTGACTGCACAGGATGTGCGGAAGGAAAGTCCCCTGCTCTTCAAGTTCCGGGCCAAGTTCTACCCAGAGGATGTATCTGAAGAACTAATCCAGGATATCACCCAGCGTCTGTTCTTTCTGCAAGTGAAGGAGGGCATTCTCAATGATGACATTTACTGTCCACCTGAAACTGCGGTGCTCCTGGCCTCCTATGCTGTCCAGTCTAAGTATGGTGACTTCAATAAGGAAGTGCACAAGTCTGGCTACCTTGCTGGAGATAAGTTGCTGCCCCAGAGGTAAGGTGATACCCTGGCCTTCTTTTACCTGGCTAAAGTGGGCTGCAGTCAAAAACTTGACTAATCCTCACTCCATGGGGGCTGACACACCTGTCTTTTTCTATTAGGTTTTATCTAAAGATTGCATTGTGCTGCTCAGAGAAGCATTTGAATATGGTGTTATATCCTGTTTTTCTGGTTCCCATAATGCTGTTTTCCTTTCTCTACCTGATTACAGAGTGTCATTACACCACAGATCAGTTGATTTTTCTCCCATCTCTGGTTCTATTTCCTCAGTCCTTTTCACTGATTTAGATGGGGGTGGGGTGAGGGATAGGCCAGGGACATAATGAGCTCAAACAGTCCTTTAATATATTGGTAACCTGTATACAGAATTTTTCACTTGTAAATTTCAAAGACAAAAGCTCTCAAAAACTGAATATTTTTATTTTAACATCACTACAACCCTAAATAAATAAGGCCAGCACTTTCCTTATTTTGGGACTCAAAGATACTCACTCTGATTTGCCCCATCTCCCACAGCTCATTTGAGGCAGACCCAGATGGGAGACTCTAATTTCTTGATTTTTTTTCAACCGTGTTTATTTACTATTTCCATAGGCTTTTGTATTAGAAAGGGAAAATAAAGTAAGCCTGATTCTGGGATCCCTAGTGCCATTGGAACAATGGCATGTTCACAGTGCATCAGGAGCTATTAGGGATAGTAGTTATACCTTGGGACTCTTTTAGAGTCACTTTCACGCTGTCTGAGATGGCATGTTTAAAGTACACCTTGTTCAGAATTTACTAGATCTGTGGGTTGGGCCCACTAATGTTCTCCCAAAGTGGCCTGGGCCTACATTTCTGTTCTGTATCCAAATCTGAGCAATATTCTTATAAACTCCAACTATTGGTCCCAAGAGGGTCCAGGAGATGTTGTTCCTGGCCGTCCCTACTGTTTAGCCCCTCAAGTCAGCACAAACCTGTGATATATTTCTGTTGTGCTTGGAGATACAGCCCATTATTAGGTTTTGTGGTTAGAGGAATAAAGAGAGTGATCCTGTTGTCCTATGATCATCTATTGAAGCTCTTCTACTTTTCAAGCTCTTTCTTATGTCTACTTTAATATATTCAGCTATAATTTTAATTTTGAACTTAGTGGACAAACTACACATTTGCGTGGTCCCCATAGAGAGCTAAGTGACCATCCTCTCCCTCCAGCATGTGGCCTTTGTACTTAGCTCACCACTCATTGTCTTTCTAGAGTCCTGGAGCAGCACAAACTCAACAAGGACCAGTGGGAAGAGCGGATCCAGGTGTGGCATGAGGAACACCGGGGCATGCTTAGGTAAGCCTACCCTAGCAGCTGTGGGCCCTGCTGTCCTTGTATGGATAAGAGACATTGATCATTTCATTGACCAGAAAAAGAGATAATGATTTGGTCACTTAAAGATAGATGCAAACTTGAGCCATTTTAAGACTGTGGTTTAGTTTGTGTTTTTTGTTGTTGTTCTTCATTTCAGAGGAAAGTTTGAATATGGATTGTGTCTTGGAAAGGTCATTAACTATGCAATCATGTTTTTAAGCTTTTAAAAAACTTGTGTGTGTGTGTGTGTGTGTGTGTGTTACATGTATATGCATGAGGGTGCATGTGTGTCATAGTGCGTGTGTGAAGGTCAGAGGACAACTTTCAGGAGTTGGTTCTCTCTCTACCATGAGTTCCAGGTTTCAAATTTAGGTTTTCAGGTTTGTGTGGAAAAATGTTTTTATCCACTGACCCATCTCACTGGCCCAAATCAGTTTTTTGTTTTATTTATTTATTTTTATTTATTGTGTGTTTGTGTGTCTCTCTGTCTGTGTGCCTATGTCTGTGTTTGTGTGTCTGTGTGTATGTCCCATGTGGAGGCCAGATGAAAGCTTGTCAGAGTCTGTTCCAACATGTGGGTCCCAGGAACTGAACTCAGGTCATCAGGTTTGGTGGCCAGCACCTTTATCCACTGAGCCATTTTTTCAGCTCCAGAGTTGTTTTGAGACAGGACCCCACTATGTAGCCCAGGCTAATCTTGAACTCACAATCTTCCTACCTCCACCTTCCAAGTGCTGGGATTATGTGTATGCGCCAGCATGACCAACATCCTAAAGATTTTCGACTGCAAAGAAACATAAAGGACTTCAAGATCGCCAGAGTTTCTAGACTACCTAGTAACTCCTCTCCTAGAAAGAAATGGGAAATGACCTCTCTATGCATTGAAAAACCATTTGAGGATTGCCTAGCTGAGGAGCAGATCTCATCATTTTGCCATCACAGCTCTATCTTAGCTCTGTTAGGAACGCACTTCTTTTTAAAGAATATTTTTATTATTCCAAGGAGAGGCAATTTTTAACACATTTTTCCAGAAATAACTTGAAGTAGGTTACATAAAAATGTATATATAATGAAGTTTAAGGGTGAAAAAGTAGGGATAAGAAATCAAAGACCAAAGCCAAGCATGGTGGCACACGTCCTCAATCCCAACACTTGGGAGGCATATCCCGGCAGATCTCTGAGTTTGAGGCCAGTCCGGTCCACTCAGCAAGCTTCAGGCCAGCTGGGGCCACAGGAAGACCCTCTCTCAAAAAGACCAAAAAAAAAAAGAAAAAAAAAGACCAAAGGATTTGCCAACACGGGATCAACTTTGGTAATGAAAGTTTCCATTAGCTCTGTTCTTTTTTTTTCTTTTAACTAGTTTATTGGGCTTGCTAACAGAGCATAGGGTGGAGTTTTTATTTACTGAAGAGTGGGTGCCCTCCCCCATTTATGTAGGAATGCCCTTCTACAAGAGAATGTCACCATGAACAGGAAGAGGAGTACTTCTATAGCAGTTAACCCTCCAGAGGCTAGCAAGGCTCAGCCGGCTCTTCAGGTTCCTGTCAGCAGCTTTTGCTTGGCAGAAATCATGTGTGATCTTTATCATCCTCTTACCTTCCATCCATTTCCCACTCCTACTATTAAGATCGTTGTCAAAAATACAGAGCAAACAAACTTTTCTATTTTGCTGAGTGATTCAGAAGCTCTACTTTGACACCACCCCCCTCTCCTATTCTGTTTCATTTAGGGAGGATGCTGTCCTGGAATATCTCAAGATTGCTCAAGACCTGGAGATGTATGGTGTGAACTATTTCAGCATCAAGAACAAGAAAGGCTCAGAGCTGTGGCTGGGTGTGGATGCCTTGGGTCTCAACATCTATGAACAGAATGACAGGTATACCTCAGATGTCTTTTAATTATTTCAATTACTCTTACAGACAGGGGTCACCCTTTACCATGGAGTAGGATTATAGTACTTGAGTGCCACCTCAAGTTATTTTTCTAAGTTAGTCCAGCCCAGATGATTATACAATCTCTCCCGTTCCTGTATTAACTAGATTTGTATTGTCGATTGTGGTAGCCACTAGCCATGTTTTGCTATTGAACAACTGAAATATGATTGATTACTATTGAAATACATTATAGTGTAAACTGCACACCAGACTGAAGATTTACTGTGAGAAAAGATGTGTATTAATGATTTTTCTGTAGCTGTGACAAAATACCTGGGAGAAAGATTTATTGACTTGTAGTTTCAGAGTTTTTTGTCTGTGTTCACTTAATACAGTTGCTTTGGGCTTGTAATGAGACACGGGATGTCACGGTGGAGAGCATGTGCTACAGTAAAGCCATTCACCTCATGGCAGCCAGGAAGTAGACATGAGAGGAAACAGCAGAGACCCCAATATCTCCTTTAATGGCATGCTCCTGGTTATCTCCAACCAAGCCCCATTTGTTTAAGTTTCTATGCACCAATAGTACCATTATCTGGGGACCTAGCCTTCAACAGATGAGTTTTTAGGAGGCATTTAATGTCTATACCATGCCAGGTGTGGTGGTGTATACCTGTAATCCCAGCACTCAGGAGGTTGCAGGGATGATTAGGAGTTCCAGGTCACTCTTGAATACATAGTGAATTTGTGGCCATCCTGGGCTACCTGAGACCCTGTTTCATCCCTTTCACGCTACAAAAACTCAATTATCTAAAAATGCATCTTCAATATATTTTAAAATACTGATTTATATGTTCAAATGATAGTATTGGAATATATTGGGTTAATTAAACTGATAGTTAAGCCCTTGTGTTTCCTTATTATTTTTTTACAGTCAGTGGAAAACATGTATATGATTCATAATTTTTGGACAGTGCTGGCATAGAATCTATCTCGTCAACATTAGAAAAGTTCAAGTCCCATGTTAAGATTAGGTGACTTTGTCTTATAACCCTGTAGTGCTGCCTTGGTGAAGATGAAATCAATCAACTGTTGTTCCATATAACTTCTGAATCTTGGATCTCATTTTCTTTCCAAACATCTACAGTTTTGTATAGGAGATTTTCAGTTAAACAGGACTGCAGGTGCTTTAAAGATTTTTTATAAGTTCTATGCTTCAACCACACATGGAACAAAATAAACCTCATTGATTGGAACAGTGAATAATACCTTGGTTGTGGTATCAGAAAGTCCTTTGTGCAACTTCAATGCTGGCCATGGACCTGGCAGCATGTAATGACTTGGGCTGTGTTTTGGGGTAGAGTGCAGTAGGTGGTGGTGAGGGCAAGGCACCAGTTTTCTGAGTCTTTCTTGCCTTGTTTTTGTTCTCATGTTGTTCTTCATTTCTACAGACTGACTCCCAAGATTGGCTTCCCTTGGAGTGAAATCAGGAACATCTCTTTCAATGATAAGAAATTTGTCATCAAGCCTATTGACAAAAAAGCCCCGGTGAGTGAGTGACTCTTGCCTCTAACCACAGCAGATTCTTTGCCAAGGCCTAGGCAGTGCTATTATGCAAACTTGTCATTGGATTTGTCTCACATTTATAATCACATGTACACATGAATAGGAAGCACAAATGGAGACTGAAATGTAAAGGGAAATTGATGCTGAGAAATGGCCAGGAGACATCTTTTGCCATGTTAACAGCTATTGCCTCACCTTTCCAAGCCCCTAGGACCCCAAAATGGACACTTTAAGGGCTTGGCTTATGTTTAATTATGAAAAAAGGCAGAACCAGGAGAAGTTCAAAACCAAAGTGACATTCCAAATTTGCCTTTTAAAAAGTTTAATATGGGGGCTAGAGAGATGGCTCAGAGGTTAACACTGACTGTTCTTGCAGAAGACCTAGGCTCGAATCCCAGCACCACATGGCAGCTAACAACTGTCCAAAACTCCAGTTCCAGGGGATCCAACAGCCTCTTCTGTCCTCCGCGGGCGTTGTACAACAAGGGTGCACTTCTACATGCGGGCAATACATGCATACCCATAAAATAAAAATAATAAATAAAATATTTTAAAAATTTATTATGGAAGATTAAATAATTATTTTATATGTTGTTCTTTACCCATAATATTTGGGTGTTTTGAGATAAACTCTTAATTGTTTAGCTCAAGCTGGCCTTGAATTTGCAGTGATCTTCCTGCTTCAGCCTCCTGAGTGCTGGAATTATAAACATTTACCATCTCATCTAGTTAAATTTTTTTTTATTATTTTGTTTTATTTGTTCATTTGTTTTTGAGGGGAGAGGTGGGCATGCCATAGCACCTGTGTAGAAGTCAGGATAGCCTGTAGGAGTTGGTTTTCCTTAGGTCTCAATGGGTCCTTGGGTTCAAACTCAAGTCATCAGGCTTGATGACGGGCACCCCTCACCATCTGAGCCATGTCACTGACTCAAAAATTTGCATGTGTGGCTTTATTGCTGCCGCCATGGAGTTTTCTCCAGACCAACCTAAGACCAAGATAATGCTTTGAGTTTGCCATACTTCTTACCCACTCAGTAGTAGCTGAATACATCAGAAAGTTAGGAATTGAGAATAGGATAAAAAACTAAGATGAAGGTCTATTCTTCTGGTGGACCTTTTGTCCAACAAGGGCCAGCACTCTAAGCCTGATTTCACAAGAGAGGGCTCAACCTTCATCTACAGCCCTAAGATGTCTGATCTTCTGTTATGAGTTTTATATGTGATATCTCCTTAAAACTTCAACTCCATGTGCTGATAATTGGCAATACACCCATTGAATTAATGAAATCAAGATTCAGAGAAATAGAATGATTTGAAGATCATATAGCTAAAAGTGGTAGAGCTGGGATTTATAACATTTGGCCTTTAGAATGTTTCATCCTTCTGCTGTACCCAGGCCATATGAAATGACAGCAATTTGCTTCAGTGGCATAGGAGACGGTGGTTAGCTCCTCAGCAAGTAGCATTTGGTCTGGCATTTGTTATAACAAAGTTAAACTCACTGAATTTTCATGTATATGTTGCTGCTATTTTCACCTTTCTTCAGAAAAAGATAAGTAAAAAACCCAGCTGAAACCAAGGGCTTATTAGCAAATAACATTCAGGACAATCAATGTTTAAGAGATTTATCTATTTATGTAATTACAACCTGCTTTGTTCTAAAAATGGACTGGATCTAGAATATGTTTTTCAGAGATTATAGGGACAGTTTAGTTACCCACAGGGTACCCATTGCCTAGGGTATTCTTTGTCTTGTGGAAGAGTTCCCCTGAGAGTCATTTAAGAACTGTAGTTAGACATCTAGGTAGAGATATGTCTCCTCCCTTAAGAGTTAATCCAGTTGGGCAGGTCAGGTCACCTGGCTAAGGGACCACCCTCCAGGAAGGCAGGTTCTCTTTAAACCATGCTAAAGAGATAGGAACAATAATTAGCCATTTAATGAGATAATGTGCATTTCCTTCCCTGAAAGCTGCCATGAGGTTCTGTTCTGTCTGCCTGCCTTTCTGAGTTTTGGCTAAAAAAGGCATACCTTTTTTTCCCTTTTTCCTCTTTTGTCTTTTCCTTTGATGTTGGCCAGAGATTAAGTATGCTTTCTCTGGTACTTCGGGTTTTATCAGTCTTTCTCTAAAGCTCCCCTCCCTGCTGCCTACCTGCTTGTCTACCATGTGGCTGACTTCAATGCTGGCTTAAATCAAATGACATGGTTCTTTTCCTCACTTTTAAGCTTCTACTTTTGAATATTTAATACCTTTTTCCTAAAAACTCAAAAGAAACTGAAACTGTAGCGGAGAAAGCCACTTCTGATTCTTCAAGTAGATTGAAAGTCTTTTAGGGTGCTTTTCTTGTTGTTTAAACTTTTTTGTTTTACATTTATTTATTTATTTATTTATTTATTTATTTATTTATTTCTATGGGGGGGCATTCAGTGTGTGGGTAGTTAGGTGTGCATGATACAGTATATGTGTGGAGGTCAGAGGAAAACTTACTGGAGTCTATTCACTTCTTCCACCATGGGGCTGCCAGTGATCAAACCATGGTCATCCTGTTGGTGACAGGCACCTTTACTTGCTGAACCATCTTGCCAGCCCGGAAGTACTTTTGATGAGCAAAAATCGAAAGAAATTTTGGTTTGGTGGAAAGAACATTGATTTCATAGACAGGAAGCATGGGTTCTGGTCTTGGGTCTACCACTACCCTGACATCCGACTCTGGGAAAAATCACCACTCTGGATAATTAGTTTTTCCACTGTAATGCAAAGCATTGATGAAGCAGTCTTTCCTATACTTTTGGATTTAGCTTTACAGAAGGCAGAAGGTCATTTTGGCCTCTTGATCAAAATTTTAAAAGATTTATATTTGCTATTTAGTTACTGGAGTGTGTCCATGTCTGTGTATCCACATGTATCCGTGCGTGCGTGCGTGTGTGTGTGTGTGTGTGTGTGTGTGTGTGTGTGTGTGTTTGTCCCCACATGCCAGGGTACCTATATGGAAGTCAGAGAACAATTTTAGGGAATCAATCTTTTCCTGTTGTGGGCTCCGGGGATCAAACTCAGTTGTTACAAATGCTTTTACTTACTGAGCCATCTTGCCAGCCCTAAAAGCCTAAAAACTCTTTGCAACTGTTTTCCCTCCAGGACTTTGTGTTCTATGCTCCCCGCCTGCGGATTAACAAGAGGATCTTGGCCCTGTGCATGGGGAATCATGAGCTGTACATGCGTCGCCGCAAGCCTGACACCATTGAGGTGCAGCAGATGAAGGCACAGGCTCGGGAGGAGAAGCACCAGAAGCAGATGGAACGGTAGGTGCTACAGTGCTGAAGTCAGGGCTACTTCTCAAAGGTTCCTAGCCTGCCTAGGATATGACCTCAACCCAGGACTTGGAGCACATGAACTGTGGAGGACATGATGCTCTGTACATTCAGTCTCAGCACAGATGTTCTTGCTCCTTTGAAACAGGCATCAGAATCCTAGGATTTCAGAAATGACAGGATGGATGGAGGAGACTTTCAGACTTTCCTATTGTTAGTGACCCTTATGCCATTACTGCGCCAGGTACATTCTGGGTTGCTATAGGTTAACTGACAAATATAGTGGTGGTAGCTGAAGGGTCTATGCACATATGAGTCGGGAATTGAGAAGAATTTTCCCTATGAAGCCCCTAGTTCTTGCTTGTCAGTGTCATCTGAGACTCAAAAGCATCAATGTCAGGTTGGGAACTTCTTAGAAAGGTAGGATCTGAGCTCCTTAACTCAGACCTACTGATCAGAATCTTAAGATCCCAGGGCAGGATTTCTCTAAAGATTTATAAATTGTCAATAACATGAAAATATCTTTAATCATTAGGGAAATGCAAATGAAAAACACAAAGAGTTACCATTTCATACTCATTAGTATGCATATAAGAAATAAAATTGGTACATAAGTATTTGTGATGTTGGGGAAAAAATTGGAATTCATATACATTGCTGGTAGGAATATAAAGTGGTGGAAAACAGTTCCTCAGAAAGTTAAACATAGAATTACTACCTAATCTTGCAATCCCATTTCAAGGTAAGTGCCTATCAAAATTAAAAATGGATGTTCAAAGCAATGCATATACACTATTGAAATAGGGAAAAGGTAGAAAATAAAACCCAGCATCATTTATCAAGAGATAAATGAATACAAATAGTAAATAGACACAGTCAAATACATCTTTTAAAAATATTTATTTTAAATTGTGTGTGTGTATGTGTGTGAATAAATATGTATGTGCATATGAGTGCAGGTGCCTGTGGAAGCCAGAAGAGGGCATCAGATCCCCTGAAACTGGAGTGACAGGCAGTTGTGAGCCATCTGACGTGGGTGCTGGGAATTGAACTCTAGTCCTCTGTGAGAGTAGTGAGTGCTCTTAACTACTAAGCCATCTCTCCAGCCCGTGGAATAGGTCTTAATCTAGTTTGCGTTGTTAGAACAGATAACCTGAGGCTGAATACTTTATAAAAAAAGGGGGTTATTTTTGCTCATGGTATTGGAGACTGAGAAGTCCAGGATTCGACAGACACATTTGGCAAGAGCCACATACGGCATTGTAATACATCAGAGGACGACATCATATAGCAGGAATATGTACAAGGATAGAGTCACACATGTGGAAGAGAGATACAGGAGAGATGTTAGGGTCACTTATTACAACCCACTCACAAGGAGAAAACCATTATTGTAAGATCTAACCCACTCCCCCAATACATGTGCTAATCTTTTCTGAGAGTGCCTCCCCCAATGACCAAGTCACCTCCCATTATATCCACCTAGTAAAAGTTTCACTCCCTCTCACTACCTTTACATTGGGAACCAAACCTAGTATATGGACTTTTGTGGAAGACAAGCCGTAGCAGAATATTTTTCAGACATCCATGCTACAGTGTGATGTGACTCTAAAACATGCTAAGTGAAAAGAAGTTGGGCATGGCAAGTTACATATTTATATGGAATAATTCCAAATAGAAATAGCTATAGAAACCCAAAGTATATTGATGACTGTCAGGGGCTGAGATAGGGGAGGTGTTGGAGAAACTGCTTAACAGGTATGTGGTTTTACTTTGCAGTGATGAAAATATCTTAGAACTAGATCAGGGTGGTGGTAGTGTACTAAATGCCATTGAGTTCTTTACTTTAAATGGTTAATTTTGTATTTTGTGACTTTTACCTAAATAAAGTCTTTGAGAGGATCCCAGGTGATTCTTAATGCACTGCTGTAGTGGGTAATTGCATTTGGAACCTCAGAGAGCTTTTAAGCTAGTAGGCGGAAATATATGAATATATGCTGGTTTAGAAACTAAGGATAGCATAGCCTGGTTGTACCTGCCTGAAATCCCAACACTTTGAAGGCTAGCCATAGACTTGAAGCACAAAACCCAAATTTATTTGCTATAATGCTGTAAGACAGACTGTAAGACTTAATAAGTCATTTTGCAGATAGGGGATCTTAGAAGAAGAGCAGAGCGGCAGCATAGCTAAAGTCATCTAGTTAGTTACTTGCAGAACCAGGATTCCAGTTTGGCTTTCATGCTTTGGGGGCAAATGGACGGAGCACGGAAGCCTATGTGGGACTGTGAGGTGAGGGCAAATCTATGGAGGAAAGGGAGAGTGGCTGTGCTCACAAGCTCTGTGTATGTCCGGAGGGTAGGATCTAGGCGACCTAGGTCCAGGAACTCTTCGGGATTCCATGCAGTTTGCTATCATGTTCAACCCTCTTCTCCTTTCCCTAGTGCTCTGCTGGAAAATGAGAAGAAGAAGCGTGAGATGGCCGAAAAGGAGAAGGAGAAGATTGAACGGGAGAAGGAAGAACTGATGGAGAGGCTGAAGCAGATTGAGGAACAGACTAAGAAGGCTCAGCAAGGTGAGGCGTGGAGTCACTTTGGAGGTTAAGATTCCTTAGATCCTCATTCTGAGCTGAAGTCCCTTCTTCCTGAGCTGCAGACCCAGACCACATAGCCTAGGTGCAGATATAGAATAGGAGGAGTTTATTAAGAAAAATTTTTGGAATCTTTGCCAACTATTCCATGAGGTAGAAAATTTCCAGGAAACAAGCTAATGAGACATCTTCAATTCTGTGCATTTCACCACCTTCTTCCTTTTCTACCTAGAACTGGAAGAACAGACCCGTAGGGCCCTAGAACTTGAGCAGGAACGGAAGCGTGCCCAGAGTGAGGCAGAAAAGCTGGCCAAGGAGCGTCAAGAAGCTGAAGAGGCCAAGGAGGCCCTACTGCAGGCCTCCCGGGACCAGAAGAAGACCCAGGAACAGTTGGTAAAGTGATATGGTGTACTGTGGTTGTGTGCATGCATTTTTCTCCCTTGCCTGCCAACCTATTTATAATTCCCTCTGCCTGCATGGCTGAGTCTTTCTAACAAGTTTACATTGCAGAATATTTAGTAGTTCATTCAAAAGCAAGCTGAGAAGTGTCACTGGTGTGGCCCAGTCTTTCCTAACCCTGGGGTTTTATTTACCTTTTTAACCCATGTAGATTTTAACTGGTGACCTAGTAAAGGGGAGGGTACAAAGAAGTCTAGGGACTGGAGTGCCTATTAGGTTTCCTTTTTTTTTTCTTAATTTCTTCTTTCTTTTCAGTAGCCCTAAGGGATTAAATCCCATACAAGATGTTATGGTCAGATAAAGAAATTAGGATTCAAGACAGCTGAGAGACTTGTCAAAGGTCATAACTGTGTTTGGCCAACTATTTGAACTCATTTGGTCTCAATTTGAAATATTTGCTCCCTGAAATCATATAGAAAACTGTGTACTCATACATTCATCATAATTTCCAAGGGTTCTGTGACTCAGAATTTAATAACCTATGATTAAATTCATTTGACATATTCTATTCCTCTGTAATATTTGATATGCTAGTATCGCTCAGGGAAAAAGCTGTCATGGGAATTTGTCCAAGGGATGGGGGTGAGGGGGTAAGCTTTCTCCCCTTGTTCAGATTGCCATAAGATTTAATTAATATTTGTTCTGAGGACAATCCTGCTGGAGTCCTACACATTCTAGCAGGGATGGATCTACTACTTCAAGCAGTGATCACCAAAGCTTTGTTCAGGCATCACTATATGCATATTTGGCAATACTGAGTTGGGGAGAGGGAAAGAAGGAGAGGGTCAGAGATGACATATAAATAATATGCCTTCAGAGGCCTGTAGCCTTGGAGGGGCTGTGATGTAAAAAGAAGTAATAGGTTTGGAATATGAGACTAGAGTGGAGTAGTTGGATCAGAAGAGTTGCTAGGGCAACAAGCAAGTTGAACAGTCAGTTCCCTACTGGTTTCTCATGGGAACTGGTGTTGCAGGCACCTGGACTCTGACAACTAGAAGGCTGAGCTCTCATGGGCTTCTAATTTATCCATAGGCTTCAGAGATGGCAGAGTTGACGGCACGGATCTCTCAGCTGGAAATGGCTCGAAAGAAGAAGGAGAGTGAGGCTGTGGAATGGCAGCAAAAAGTAAGATCCAGAACCCAGCGCAAACCTCATGGGAAGGGGTATAATTCCTGGTCCTCTGATTTCTTAGATTTGAGCTCCTTCCCCCCTGTCCACCTCTTTGACAGGCATTAATGGGAGAAGGTGCTCACAGCTTTCTCAAGTACTTTCTAGAATTCTCCAATACCTATGGGAAATTGATAGGATGGCTTCTACTTTACAACTGAGGAAATTCAGATCAAGCCAATAAAGTCATGTGGTATTTGCCTCTCAATAGACATGTCTTTCTAGGTATGAATAGGTTGCCATAGGTTACCTGGTAATGACTGCCAATCCTCTTTCTGTCACTGAACAGGCCCAAATGGTACAGGAAGACCTGGAGAAGACCCGTGCTGAGCTGAAAACTGCCATGAGTACACCTCATGTGGCAGAGCCTGCTGAGAACGAACAGGATGAGCAGGATGAGAATGGGGCGGTGGCCAGTGCTGAGCTGCGTGCTGATGCCATGGCCAAGGACCGTAGCGAGGAGGAACGTACCACTGAGGCAGAAAAGAATGAGCGCGTGCAGAAGCATCTGAAGGTATCCAGGCAGTGCCAGAGTGACACAGAGACTGCTATGACCTGTCCTAGATCCAGGGGACAGGTGCAAGAGCCTATCTCAGTGCTATATGGAACTCTGAGATTATTCCAAATGAAACTTGAAGGGAAGACAACCTTACTTATTAATCAAACCCTAGATACCTCTTCCCTTTTGTAGATTTTCTCTCTATCTTACTTCCTACTGCATTCAACTCTTAGATTCGGAAATTATACAGCTAACCAAATTCCTACCTAAATCTTTGGGATTCCCATCATTAATAGGTCTTCTCAGTGCGTGTTTGTGTGTGTGTGTGTGTGTGTGTGTGTGTGTGTGTGTGTGTGTGTCCGGGTGCATAGGGATTATATGGATGGGAAGGGGAAGTAGAAAAAGTAACAGAAAAGAAGAAAAAGCTGATCAAAGAAGTGGGATTGAAATGAGAGGATGCCATTGACTCCTGACTCCTCTTGCATCCCTGCAGGCCCTCACTTCAGAGCTGGCCAATGCCCGTGATGAGTCCAAGAAGACCGCCAATGACATGATCCATGCTGAGAACATGCGACTGGGCCGAGACAAATATAAGACCCTGCGTCAGATCCGGCAGGGCAATACCAAACAACGCATTGATGAGTTTGAGTCCATGTAGTGGGCACTCAGCTCTAGGGACCCCTCCTCCTTCCTTGTCCCCACACTCCTATACTATTGCCTAACTAACACTGCGCTAGAGCCACTAACTAGAGCAGCCTTGGCTCCATGCCAAACATTCAGTATAGCCATGGGACCAAATTTAGCCCTTCAGCCTCCCCATTCACATCCCTGGGCGGACACATGCCCCACCATGGTGCCAATGGAATCTCCTTTCCCTTCTTTGTCCCATTTTATCTAGCTTGCTGGAATAGACCACTTCCCCAGCTCAGAGGCTCATTCCACTTGATTTGACAAGCACCCCACACTTACCATTGTCCAATAGAACTCAAGTGTGGTGTAGGTTGAAAGCTAGCTTCCCTCTTCTGTCTTCCTCTTTCAAGTCCTGTGATTTGCAAAGTGGGATAGCATGTGATACAGGGAAAGAAGCAGGGCACTGGCTGTATACTCTAGTATGTCAACTGAGCTAGGATTTAGCCTCTCAGTGTCTATCCCTTTTAAGTGTTATTTAGGCTTTGTAATGATTGGAGGATAAAGAGATGTTTAATCATTCTTGTTTCTACCTCCTAGATTGGGCCTGTTACAAATTCAGCCCTAATAAGCCTTGTCCCTCAGTTTAGGGACCCAGCTTCTCCCCACAGAGGGATGGAGGAGACAAGTGCCTTCAAGAGGCTTCACTAACATCTTGGAATAGAAGGCCATGGGCCTTTCTGTTTGGGTAAATTGGATTTAAAAATCTTGCCTCTGTGCTTCCCAAGAGCCTTCCTTCTCTCAAGTGAGATCTATGGGCAGAGCTACCCTTGTTAATCCAGGTTCCAGGTTCCCTTTGTGAATCTGCCCCTGCCCCCTCCAATCTCCAAATCTCCAGCTAGAATAGTAAGGATGAGCACCCCCGGTACTTAGCCAGTTGCATCTAAAGCTCTTGTCAAAGGGAGGAAATGTTCATACCTGGCCTCAGTATTTTTCCCTACCAAGGGTTCTAGGCTCCTTTCCCTAGAGTCAATTGGGCCACTGCTCCTGCTTCACAAATACCCGATCTGATGAGCAACAATAGCTGTTGCCTCCGGTCCCCCAGTTCACTCAGCCCTCTCAGGTGCCCAATAATCCTTTCCCATCATATCCAGTCCGAGGTGGTGACTGGGCACTGCTTCTGACAAACCTCTAATCCAGGTCTCGTCACCAGCTGTGATTTTCTTTGGAGCAGGAGAGCTGCTGGTGATTCTGCCCTGGTCCCTTTCACACCCCACACCTTTCTTTCCTCTGGAACAGCTGCTTCTTTTTTGTCACATGTGTGCTCTTTTCATTTTTACCAGTATTATATATTTTAGTGATAGCTAACTCAATATTGATTTCTACCTTTTTAGCTAATGCACTATTAGAAATATTAGTCTTGGGACAGGATCGTTTTGGCTTTGTTCTTTTACCACCGCCACATCTGGGAAGCATAAACTATATTATAAAAGGATATTTTGCCAAAAACTTTAATATAAGAAGATTTCAGTATTAGTGGTTATCTGTCACTATAGGTCATACAATCAATTTTTAAAGTACTTAGTATTTGGTTTTATTGTTCCTGTTTGCCTTCTCCCCAGGGTTCAGTCCCCAAGAGGCTAATCATGTTGTTCCATGCAGTACCCCTACCCAGAGCCTCCCTCAGTTCATGCCCCTCCTATTTAACCTTGGGGAGTCTTGTTTGCATTGCTGTGAATTATCTTGACACTTAGTGAGCTGCCCTATATTGACTAAATTCAAACCTGGAATTGTGGGGCAGTCTAGCTGCATTAAGGGCAATAACCCACTCCCACGGAGGCTTGGGAGAAAGGTTAGATTTTATATTCAGGTTTTTTTGTGTATTTTTGTTTTTTAAAATAATTGTTTTGGAGGGGTTGATGCTCGATCTATGTTCTATTTCAGTGCCAATAAAATTTAGGAAAACTTCACTGTGTATGACGCGGTCTTTCTTTGTGGTACTTCACTGTAATTTCTATTCGATAGGCCACCTCTCTGTCCTTGATCGCATTTCATAATCACTTAAGTTCCATTGGAGAGAGGACTTTAACTATCCCCATTTTAGTGGGGCATAATCGTAAATAACAACAACCAAAACAAAGACCACCAAATAAGTCTTACAGTTACAGGTGTGATAGACAAGACAGACCTATTTGCCTTTTCTGCAGTTTCATGCCATTTTTTTCTGGTGTGGTTATGGGCCCTGCATTATCCCCATGATACTCCTAGGCTTAGAAGCTGTGTAAACTAGGATTGCCTTGACTTCAGGATAGTCCTCCTGCAGCCTCCCCAGTGCTGAGATTGTAGTCCTGGCTTCTCTTACCTCCTGCAACCCTTACTGCACTGCCAATAAAGGACAGGAAAACCATCTTGGGTCTTGGTAAAGAAAGCAGTGGAGGGTGCGGGGTGAAATGAAGACAGGTAGTATATGTGTATATACACATATACTTTAGAATTTATAAGGCATGTAAATTCTATAGTTAGCTATCCTCATTTTGCAGATGAAGAAACCCAGACACATATCCACTTTTTATACTTTTCTAGTCATGAAATTCTCAATTAACAGTTCCTTTCTTGGCAAGCCAGCATTTGGAAGGAAAAATAAGTTATCATATATACTTTTAAATTCGCACAACAATTCTTCGGCAGCTTGTCTTCCAAATGTTTAAATGTCCTTTAAACATTAATTTCCTAAACATTAGAATTTTTTGGATATTAGAGTCAGGATATGAGTTATGAAGGGGATTTGAGACAGCCTGTGTTACTGTCTCAAAAAACAAGCCAATTTGAAAGAGATGTATCTTTGCTCTGGAAACTGTTATTGAGTATGTTAAAGCTGCAATGAAATGCTTCTTCTAAAAAAAAAAAAAAACAAGACAAAAGAAAAACAAGCCAAACAAAAAGGAGCCTGGCATAATGACACAGGTCTATAATCCCAATTGCTCTGGAGGCTTGGGCAGAAAGATCATAAAATCTAGACAAGTCTTGGCTTCAGAGTGAGTGCTAGGCCAGCCTGAAAAATTTAGTGGGAGCTTTTCATTACACAGAAGGGTACTGTCTGAGGGAAGGGGACCAGCCAGATGGGTGGCAAGGTACACGGGGAGGATATTGCGGGAGAGGAATGAGTAAGAACAAAATATAACCACGTGTATAAAAATGCCATCATGAAGCCCATTTCTTTGTATGCTCACCTAAAAATGTTAATAAAATGGGCTCAGGATATATAGTTCAGTGGCAGAGTGCTTGTGTAGCATGCATAATGCCCTAGGTTCAACCTCTAGGGCTAAAAAAAAATTAAAATTTAAAAAACCTAGATTTAGAATGTGGTTAGGGTAAGGGTTCTGAGATAGAGATAATGCTGCATTATCCAGATGGTACCAGTGTAACCACAAGGCTCCATAAGAGGTGGAAGAGGGCAAGTCAGAGTTTAAAGATGCTATGCAGCTGGCTTTAAAGATGGAGCAGGAGCCAATGAAGGCCAGTGGCCTCTACAAACTGAAAGTCAAGGAAAAGTGCTCTGCCCTCCAGAAGAAACGTAGTCATTATGATATCTTGGTTTTAGCTCAGTTTTAGCTCATTAACCATCTGGTTCGCAAAACTAAGGTAATACAATACATGGGGGGTTGTATGTGTTTCTGAGATAGGGTCTTATACCCTAGGTTATCCTGGAACTCACTAGCTCAGGCTTACCTTGAATTTGTGGCAGTCCTCATGCTTCTACCTCCAGTTATAGGATATCCGATATCCTCTTTTGACCTCTGAAGACAGGCTGAGCAGGGGCCAGGGGAACAAGCCAGTAAGGAGCATTCCTCCATGGCCTGGGTTTCAGCTCCTGCCTCAGGTTCCTGCCCTGAGTTCTACCTTGGGCTCCCTGAAAAACTGTGACTTGGGAGATGTAAGTCAAATAAACCCTTTCCTCCCCAAGTTGGTCAGAGTGCTTTGTCATAGCAATGGAGAAACAAACTAGAACAATATGTATATGAAGTATATGCAAAAATGTCAAAATGGAACTTGTTTTGTACACTAAAACATTTAAAAATAAGGGTTGAGGTTGCTCTTGAGTCCATGAGCAATGATTGCTTATGTCTACCAAATATACAGCAGTATTATACATGGTAGCTTCAATCTGGAAATATCTCAAACTTCTATCATCAAGACAAGGGGAAAAATTACCACATGTTTATACAATGATGTATTACTCAGGAATATAAGGAAAAGAACTACTGAAACATACATGTAGGTGAATCTCATAGACATATTGAATAAAAAGGATAACAATACATTCACATTTTTGGATTTAAAAATTACGTTTATGTTTTTTAAAAGTACAACGTATAAAAATTTATTGGGTAGAATACGTAATCCAGGCAAAACCTCACATATTAGAACATAATGCGAGCCCATTGTTATTTACCATCAGAACAAATCCAGTATGAGTAAGAGACAGAGCTGAAATCTAGCATTCAATACAATCTCAGTAGTCATTTCATGCAAAAACGATCAGAGCTCTAAGTCAGCAGGCCGTTCCTTCGCCCTGTCTCATAAAATAATTTGAATCAGAGATGTAGTTAATGCCTGAAAGTCTGTCTCCATCCTGCATTTTTAATTTCATCAAGAAGGTCTGAAAATTCCTCAACATCCTCAAGTGAAGGAAGGAAGCCAGCCTCATCTTCCATGGCTAAGGGAAATGGAGCTCATTCAAAACAGAGAACTGTGTCTAAGAGGGGATGTTGGTACCTGTGCTTAGAAAGTGCCATCTGGAGGGTGGGGAGATGGGAGCCATGAAGTCATTCCTCATCTCTTCTCATGCCCATAAACACACTTTAGTCACACTGGCAGCGACTTGAGATTCAGATTTTGCATAACAGAAGAGGAGTGGAGAAATAGTGGAGAAGGAGCAGTCAACTCATAGACTTTGGAAACGGAAATATGTGATTCCTTTGCATTTAAGAGAGAATTGAACACAAACAAAAGGGGGATGCCACATCTGCTTTCCATCAGCAAACAAGGGACAGCAGAGAGGCTGAGTTAGTTGAAGAGTCCTAGAATTTAAAAATTATTGCAACTGAAAATCCTCAACAAAATGCTTGAAAGCTGCTTACAGACATACATCGAAAAGATCATTTGCCATGATCAAGTAGGCTATACTCCAGAGAGGCAGGGGTGGTTCCATATATGCAAGTCAATAAATCTCATAAATTATATAAATGGACTCAAAGACAAAAACCACATAGTCATCTCAATAGATACAGAAAAAAACCTTTCAACAAAATTCAACACACATTTACAATAAAAGTTCTGAAGGGAATTGGACTGGAGGGGACATATCTCAACATAATTAAAACTGTATACAACAAACCCACACCCAAGATCATTCTAAATGGAAAAAAAACTGGAAGCATTCCCATTCAAATCAGGAACCAGACAGGGCTGTCCACTGTCTCCAGTCCTTTTCAATATAGTGCTTGAAACTCTTCCTAGAGCAATAAGGCAAGAGAAGGAAATTAAAGGAGTACTAATTGGAAAAGAAGAGGTCAAATTATCCCTTTTTGCAGATGCCACCAGAAAACTCCTAAAACTGATCGACACTTTCAGTAAAGTGACAGGTTACAAAATTAATTTACAAAAATCAGTAGCCTTTCTATATACCAGTAACAAGCAATCAGAGAATGAGTATAGGGAAACCCTCCCGTTCACAATAGCCTCAAAAAAAAAAAAAATCTTGGAATAAACCCGACCAAAGACATCAGAGATCTCTACAACAAAAATTTTAAATCTTTAAAGAAAGACATTGAGGAAGACACCAGAAGAGGGAAGGACCTCTCACGCTCATGGACTGGAAGAATTAATATTGTGAAAGTGACCATCCTACCAAAAGCAATATATAGAGTCAATGCAATCCCAATCAAAATCCCCAGGACATACTTCACAGAATTAGAAAAAAAAACCCCAAAAAACCTTAAATTCTTATGGAAGCACAAAAGACCCTGGATAGCCAAAGCAACCCCGAGCACAAAGAGCAATACTAGGGGATTACTATACCAGATCTCAAACTACTCTACAGAGCTATAGTCCTAAAAATAGCAGGGTACTAGCACAAAAATAGATAACACAAATCAATGGAACATAATTGAAGATCGAAACCCAAGTAGATGCAATTTCAGCCACCTGATATTTGACAAAGTTGCCAAGAACATACAGTGGGGGGAAAGACAGCATCTTCAACAAATGGTGCTGGCAAAACTGGATCTCCACATGTAGAAGAATGAAACTATATCTTTCTCTTCCACCTTGTACAAAAGCTGACTCCAAATGGATCAAAGACCTCAATGTGAAACTGGAAACTCTGAAACTATTAGAAGTAAATATTGGCAGAAATCTACAAGATATAGGTGTAGGAAAGGATTTTCTAAATCAAACAGCAGTTGCTCAGGCATTAAGGTCAACAATCAAGAAGTGGGACCTCATAAAACTAAAAAGCTTCTGTAGAGCAAGAGAAGCAATCAGGAAAGTGAAGAAAAAACCCACAGAGTGGGGAAAAAATCTAAACAGAGTTCTCAAAAGAAGCAATAAAGATGGGTAAGAAACATCTTAAAAAGTATTCAACATTGTTAGTAATTAGGGAAATGCAAATTAAAACCACCTTAAGATTTCATCTTACCCCAGTCAGACTGACTAAGATCAAGAGAACACATGATACCAAATGCTGGCGAGGTTGTGGAGAAAGGGGAAACATATATTCACTGCTGGTGGGATGGCAAACTTGTGCAACCCCTCTGGAAAGCTGTGTGGAGAACTCTTGAAAAACTACAAATGAACCTACCATTTGACCCAGTTATACCACTCCTTGGTATATACCCAAAGGACTCTTATTGCAGAGACACTTGTATAACCATGCTTGTTGCTGCTCTTTTCACAATAGCTAAGAGGT